CGTGCACCACCATGCCTGGATTCAGCCACCAACTCAGCACTCTCTGGAGGTGGAGCCTGTGTGGCATGTGGGACGGGGGTTCATACCCTGGTCCCTGTGCTTGCCAAAGCAGGTGCTTAGCCTACTGAGCTATCTTGACGGCCCTGTTATCTTTGTACGTGCATGTACACTTTGATTATTTCACACCAGATTAAGCCCATCTTCATTTTTTCACCTCCCCTAATCTTTTTTCTCTTGTCTCCTATTTTCCTGTCATGTCTTTCTTTTTTTCCTCTAATACATTTCAACTTCTACTAATGACAGAAAGCATTCAAAATTTGTCTTCCTGAGAATGGCTCCAATTAACTGAGATGATTTATTTCCACTTCCATATGTATTTCTGCAAATGACATGATTTAGTTCTTTATGTCTGAATAATTCGCTAATGGGTACGTATGCTGTGTTGTATCTACTCACCTGTTGATAGCCACTGAGGCTGTTTTTTAGTTTAACTTTTTACTTATGCCACAGTAAACATGAATCTGTGGGTATCCCTATGGTATGCTGATTTTAATTCCTTTGAATATTTTACAAAAAATGATATAACTTAATCAAATGTTACTGCTATTTTTTAATTTTTTCAGGAACCTCCACACTGATTTCCATAGTAGTAGCAGTACTATCATTCCTACCAGCACAGTAAAAATGTTATTTTTTTCTGCACCCTCGCCAGCATTTACTGTTTTGAGTTTTAGTGGGGGTTTTTTTGTTGTTGTTTTGGTTTGGTTTGGTTTTGCATATTTGATGAGAACCATTATAACTGGGGTGAGATGGAATCTCAATGTATCTTTCATTTGCATTTCCCTGCTTACTGAAGATGTCAAACATTTTCCCAGTGTTTTCTTTTGAGAAATGTCTGTTCAATTCATTCATCTATGTGTTGACAAGGTTATTTGTTTTAAAATGTGTTTTAGGGTTTTTCTATATTTTAGGCATTAATCCTCTGTCAGAGGAGTAGGTGGTAAAGATTTTTGCCCATTTTTTTGGCCGTCTCTTCACTATTGTTTCCCTTACTGTGCTGAAACTTATTTAATTTGATGCAATCCCATTTGTTCATTCTCACTATTGGTTTTGATGCTGCTGGACTCCTATTTAGGAAGCATCTGCCTATGTGGATGTCTTCAGCTGTCCCCTCTGTCTCCTTTTTTCAGTTGCAAATTTTTAGATTTTCTACTTAGGTCTCTGATCCATTTTGAATTAACTTGTGTACAGGGTGAGAGGTTGGAACTCTGTTTCTATCTTCTATATGTGGCTATCCAAAGCTTTCCTAGCGCCATGTGTTAAGGATACCATCTTTGCTCCAGCATGTTTCTGGCTTCTTTGTCCACACTCAGATGGCCATGGTTGTGTAGGGATGATGCTGCAAGGTCTATTCTGCTCCAGTGGTTTATGTCTTTGTTTTTGTGCCAGTCCCATGTTGGGTTTTTTCCCATGTTCTTTTGTAACCATGGCTTTGCAAGTATGATTTGAAATTGAGTACTGTGATGGTCCAGCTTTGCTATTTTTGCAAAGAATGCTTGGTTATTCTAGGATTTTAGTGCT